AAAAGCTTTTTTATTACTTGCTAATACTTTTTTGTTATTGCTTAAATGTTTAGAACGATGTAAGTTTTTAGAAACAGTAGTTGGTTGCTTTCTCGAGGGTTTTTTCATTTTGTCTATTCTAACAACGATAATAATAACGATAATGATAACGATTATCTATCATTCGAAATTTTTTACAGACCGCAAAAAAGTAATGCTAACCAATCAAAATTTGAGAATGGCTAACTAACAAATAATATTTTTTTTGAAACTTTTGCGTCCGTAGATTTATTTGTATTAATTAATTTGATTGGCTAAAAAAATTTTTTTTTCTAAAAGTGATAGTCATTTAACTACGATTAATTGCTACCGCAACTTTTCGATTAATCGATTTTCGATTTGTATCACTACCCCTAGGTTGATCTCGCATAGTATATATATATAGGTAAAAATTTTACCAGGTACTGTATGTTGTGGTTTCTTGGTTCTTTTGTATCGTAAGTGTTGATTCTTCTCTGAAAGATAGAAACAGTCTTGGTTACTTTTCATTGAAAAGTTACTCTAAACAATATAAATAACAATTGTAAGCACTTGTCAAAGATAATCTCTAATAGATTATGTATTCATTTTATTCAAAAGTCATCAATAGGAGCTTTGACTTCCAAACCTCGACTTACATAAACGGGTAATTTCTAAAATCAAAATGCCCGAAAAAATACGTGACCCTTGGGCTCGTCGTGAAGCTTGGAGAAATCAGCCGCCATTTACTTTTCGTCATTCGATAAGACACCTTTGGCCGGGTTTTACCTGGGGTCTTGGTGCTTTCGCTATTTATCTTGCTTACGATACTTTTTTCACTCGTGATAATCACCATATTGATAATAGTAAATCTCACAATTAGGATTGCATCCCACCCTTTTTTTGAACGATGACATTATTTGGGAATCGGGATTTCTATTTCATTTGGATTAATAATCAAAACCAAAATATATATCCCATTGTCAATTAATAATATCAAACTCAAGAACCGAATTAAGAACTTCTGAGTGATTTAGTGACCAAGCCGGATTGTTAGGATTGTTTTATAATACATTATAATGAGAATTAATTTTTATCTGCTAAAAATTTGAGATTAGGGCTATTTTACCCTCGGCCTGGGCTCTGCTAGAGGAGGTCGGAAATCCACCTAGTCTATGTAGTATGCTATATTGTCCGGAGATATTGTACATGATGAATTGTTCTGTCTATTGAGTAAATTTTCTGTTTGATCTCTTAAGTTTCTTGATATGGATCTCTTGTATATTGTTCGTTTTTACGTTATCGTGGTGTTGATCATGTGACATCGTGGAATCCATATTTATTTGTAAATTATTTTAATCGTTTTGTGTAGTATTGGAATGTGTATATTTGGTTGGGTGTTGGTTGCTATATCGTTGTCTTTTTGGGAATGAAGCCTTGTAAATATGAATTTTGCGTTTCCGGACCTGGTGGTATGAATGGAGCACTTGTGGTAATATGAATGATTTGCTGTGGGTTGTGTATATTGCTTTGTTGCTTATTTGTGATTTGATGAGCACAGCTGGATTATGGATGTGATGTCGGTTGTATTAGCTAGGCGGAATATCCGGCGCATTGTGTCTTCTGCAGGTAGGGTCTGGATATTGTAGTGGATCTCGTTTGTGAAAGATTTGTAATGTGGGTAGTTTGTTTAGCATTAATTTGATCTTGATGCTTTAATTGTGAAGTGTTTAGGGTGGTGATCCTGCTGTTTGGGACATTGTCAATGCTTAGGTATTTGATAGTGCTTATCCAATCTATGTTATTGTAGTGCTGGTCCCAAGTGGTTGTTCTTGTCAGGCTGCCATGTGACATGCATTGTTGACATATCGAACGAGTCTTCAAAGTGTGTTTTGGATGTAGGTGTCATGCTAAATAGGGTTGGGTGCATGAAAAAAACTTTGGACATGCCCCAGGGGGCATGTTTTGGGCTGAGGCATTCTTTTTTTTATTGTGTTTAGGCAAGCCTCTTATATATAACCAAGTACTATATTATTAGATTTACTACAAAAACATTTCAAAAATTTTGTATTCAAGTGTAATATAAAATTTAAAAAGCTTTCAAAATTACAAATAATATAACCTATATTTTAATAAAATTTTTTGTAAAATTTTTAAATCTATTTTTGATTTTAATCTTAAAATATGATAGATTATTGTGCAAAATTTTTAGAAATATTCTTTAAATAGCTACAGATCTTGTAACCAATTAGCATATTTCAATTACACATAATCAAGGTTTATAATTATATAATATAAATATATCTTTTGGTTTAAAAATATATTTTAAAACACTGTTTTAATTTTAATACAATATAAGAAGTATGTGTTATTTTATAATTAGTTATAATTTATACTAAGAGCAACAAAATTGTTTTTTTAAAAAAAATAGGTAATATTGTTTGATTTGTATATATTTTTTAATTAAAATTAAATTTTGTTTTTTAATTTTAAAATTAAATAATTTATAATTTATAAATATTTTAAAAATAATTTTATTACGATTTTATTTTTTTAAAAAATGATTTAACAAGTTTAAAATTATTTAAATTCAATTATAAAATTATAAAATAATTTACAACCAAGTAAATAATTTATTTTATACTGTATATTATATAATTATTTTTTATTTATCTTTTTATATTTAGCTTTATTTAAATAAAACTATATATAAAGATTTAATATTGTATATTATATTAAAAAAACTATTTTAGTTTTTTCATTATTATATTATAAAAGTATTAATATTTTATTGTTAGATAAATCTTTTTATATATTTTTTAATATTAAAATATACTTAATTTACTATATCAAACTATTTATTTTTTTTTAGAATCTTAAATTTACTAAAAATATAATTTTCAAAAGCTATTAGCTAGTAGAGTTTCTCAAAATCAAATCAAATCAAATATTAAATATATTTAAATTTAATCAAATTAAATTAACCCTTGATTTAAATTTGATTTAATCAAATTATATTTAAAAATTTTTAAAAATTTTAAAATTTTGCAATTTTTCAAAATTTTTAATTTATATAAAATTTTACTAAGTTAACCAATTTTGTATATTAAATAAAATCTGTTTTTCTAATCAAAATATCTAGTTTAATAAAATAAAAAATAGTTATTTTAATAAAATTTTGTATAAATAGCTATTGTATTTATAGTTTTAATCAAAATTAAATAAAATATTCAAATATTTATCAAATCAAATTGAATATTTTATTAATTTGAATTTGATTTGATTTAAAATTTTTATATTTGAATTTGATTTAATATTAATATTTAATCAAATCAAATTAAATCAAATAATAAAACTTTATTAGCTAGTAGCTAAAGATTATATTAAAATTACTATTTTATAATAAAGTAATTTTTATTTTCAAAAGACAATTATTTGTATCAATTAGTCACTAAAAGCAAGTTGAAAACTTAAGACCAGAAGTTAACAATAACTTAAAATTTTCTCAATATAAACTATTATCAACAAAATTTTAAATATAATATACAAAAAAATAGATATTTTAGACAGTTTATATAGAGGTTAAACCTTGGTTTTTTCTCTTTTTTTCAGATAGACTCTCTTGTATATTTGGTATCCAAACTAGAGAAGTTTTTGAAAACAGCAAATAAAAAGAAAACTCAAATTGTTTAAAAATAAAAGGCTATAAAAAACTCTTAAAACAATATTTCTTGATTAATAAACTCACAAAACTATAATATTTCTTCACTGCTTTTTTTTTATAATTTTTAATAAAAAGTAGAAATTTTGTTATCTCTTCTAAAAGATCAATATTGTTTACTATTTTTATTTTTAAAAAATCTCAAGTTAAGATATAACAAATAAAAAACACAACAATCATATATAAAAAGAAAGTTTTGATTTGATAATCTAAAATATATCAAGTAAAAGATTCTATATTTAGATTAAATTTTAACTACAGGGTACCATATTATTGTGGACACTTTTTAAAAATTTGTATAGAGCTAAATAAATAAGATATAAAGCTAAAAATTATACAAATTATTATTTAAATCT